TATTGAATTTGTATACCACCCTACTCCCGAAATCATTAAATCATTAAATCATTAAAATACAATTAAATAATTGGCCTGGAAAATGAAATTTAAAACATCCCAAATTCATAAGACAAATTTAAAATTTAAAAATTTTAAAAAACAGTTTAAAGAGAGGTTAGGCCAGGCCGGCCTGCTGGAAAAGTAATGTTTTGATGGCACGGCGGAAAGCGTGCAGGTCCGGGATCCTCCGTATCTCCAGGGGGAGCTCGTTCCAGATGGCGGGTGCCCCCACAGAGAAGGCTATCCCCATGGGGGCCGTCAGTCGACACTGTTTGGCCGACAGCACCCTGAGGAGCCCCTCTCTATGGGAGCGTACTGGTCGGTGAGAGGCTACTGGTGACAAAAGGCGGTCTCGTAGATACCCCTGTCCTAAGCCATGGAGCGCTCTAAAGGATGTAACCAAAACCTTGAAGCGCACCCGGAAGACCACCGGGAGCCAGTGCAGCTCGCACAGGAGGGAGGTCACATGGGAGCGCCCCGTTGCTCCGATAACTACCTGCGCAGTCGTATTCTGGACCAGCTGGAGCCTCTGGGTGCTCCTCAAGGGGAGCCCCATGTAGAGAGCATTGCAGTAGTCCAGGCGGAAGGGGAGAGGGCATGAGTGACCGTATTTAACGAGTCCTGATCCAGAAAGGGACGCAACTGGCGAATCAGGCGAACCTGATAAAACACCCTCCCGGCCACAGCCATCAAGTGCTCTTCTAAAGCAGCTGTAAATCCAGGAGGACCCCCAGGTTGCGAGCCCTCTCCGTGGGGGCCAACGACTCACCCCCAATAGTCAGTGATGGCACCAACTGACTATATTGGGATGTCGGAAACGACAGCCACTCGGTCTTGGATGGGTTGAGCCTGAGTCTGTTCCTCCCCATCCAGATCCGTATAGCCTCCAGGCACCGGGACATCACTTCAAGGGCATCATTGGGGTGGTCTGGGGTGGAAATGTACAGCTGGGTGTCATCAGCGTACTGGTGGTACTTCACCCCGAAACCATGGATGATCTCACCCAGCGGCTTCACCTAAATGTTGAACAGAAGGGGCGAGAGGACCGACCCTTGTGGCACCCCACATACAAGGGGCCTCAGGGTCGACGTCTGCCCCCCTGTCAACACTGACTGCGGAGAGGGAGGAGGAGAACCACCACAACCTGATGCCTCCCACCCCTAACTCTTCCAGCCGGTGCAGCATGATACCATGGTCGATAGTATCAAAAGCCGCTGAGAAGTCTAGTAGGACCAGGACAGAGGAGCAACCCCTGTCCTGAGCCCTCCAGAGATCATCAACCAATGCGACCAATGCCGTTTCCGTGCTGTACCCAGGCCTGAAGCCCGACTGGAACGGATCTAGATAAGCCAATTCATCCAGGTACTGAGGGAGCTGTCGTGCTACCACACTCTCAACAACCTTTGCAAGAAAGCGAAGGTTGGAGACTGGACGGTAATTAGCCAATACTGCTGGGTCCAGGGAAGGCTTCTTGAGGTGGGGTCTCACCACTGCCTCTTTCAAGGCAGCGGGAAAGACACCCTCACTCAGAGAAGCATTTATAAATTCCCTGGAGCCAGTCTCGTGTAACCTCCCTAGAGGCCAGCACCAACCAGGAGGGACACGGGTCCAATAAACATGTGGCAGCATTCAGTCTACTCAGTATCCTGTCCACGTCTTTGGGAATCACAGAATCAAACTCTTCCCAAATAATATTCTCAAGACCTGCCTCCATCCTCTCCCCTGAATCTACCCCGTCAGAGTCCAGATGTTCCCGAATCTGAGCGATTTTATCATACAGATACTGTACAAAGTCCTCGGCTCTACCCTCCAAGGGGTCCTCCCGCGCTTCCTGAAGGAACAGGGAGCAGGTCACCCTAAACAGGGCGGCCGGGCAGTTATCTGATGACGCAATAAGAGTGGAAAAATAGTTACATTTTGCCGCTTTTATCGCCACAAGGCAGGGTGGATACAAATCAATGATTTTTTTTAAAAAATCAAAAAAATCAGATTTTTTGGATTTAAATCGGATTTTTTTTATTTAAATCAGATTTTTTTGATTTTTATAGAATTTATTTTAATAAAAAACTTTTGGGGTAAAAATCTATCGTAAGATAGTTTTCTATTTAAGATACATAAATAATTTAGTTTATTCAGCATGAAATGGACCTTAGTTATATAGCATGAGGCTGTATATTCTGCAACACTGGGACTATCGGTGAGTCAACAGTGGGTCAAAGGAGTAGCAGAGATGATAGTTGCTCTTTAAAAATTATGATTTAAATCGAGTTGATTTAAATTAAGCCTTTTTACTAGTGATTTAAATCGTGATTTAAATCATGATTTAAATCAACTCGATTTAAATCAAATCCACCCTGCCACAAGGTAAGTCGGTCAGATTCAGACAGGCTGGCCCTCCAACCGCTCTCCAGGCGTCTTTTCCAGCACTTCATCTCCCTCAGCTCCTCGGTGAACCAAGGAGCCAAGCAAGATTGGTGCCGAGTCAAAGGCCGCAAAGGCACGACCCGATCCAAAGCTCCAGTGGCTGCCCTATCCCAGGCGGCCACCAGGTCTTCGGTCGAGCCGTGAGCCAGAGCCTAAGGAAATGGCCCAAGCTCCATCTGGAACTAATCCGGATCCATCAGGCGCCTGGGGCGGAACCACCTCATCGGTTCCACCTCCCTGTGGTGGGGTGTAGCGGTTCGAAGGTCAAGGCGAAGGAGGGAATGATCCGACCATGACAAGGGTTCAGTCACTATATCCCCAATATCGAGATCATTCAACCACTGACCAGAGACAAAAATCAAGTCCAGAGTGTTTCCCCCCCGGTGAGTAGGGCCATGCAATAACTGGGTCAGGTCCATAGCCGTCATGGAAGCCATGAACTCCCGCACTGCCTCAGACGCTTCACCGATGGATGGCAGGTTAAAATCCCCTATGACCATAAGCCTCAGGGTATCAACCGCCACCCCAGCTACAACGTTGAGCAGTTTGGGCAAGGCCGCTGCCACGTGGCAGGGAGCCAGGTACATGATCAGCAAGCCCACCTGTACCCCATGACCCCACTTCACCAGGAGGGACTCACAACCGGCAATCTGAGGAACAGTGGCCTCCCTCGGACCAAGACCTTCTTTTATAACAACCGCCACCCCTCCGTCCCTACCTTGTGACCTCAGTTGATGAAATGCGCGGAAACCAGGAGGACACATTTCAACGAGGGGCACCCCCCCCTCTTGGCCCAACCAGGTCTCCGTAATTCCTGCCAGATCCGCTCCCCCCTCCTGAATTAGATAAAAAATGAGGGGGGCTTTATTTACCACAGACTTGGCATTGCATAGCATCAGCTGAAGGCCCAGGGCCTGAGGGTCTGTGCAACCTGGGGAACGAGAGGAGCATTGGAGGCCGGATCGCGCCACCGCTCGAAGACAGCAAGCGTGCACTCCCATAACATGATATGGCCCCCTGCTCCCGCCATGTCTGCCCCTCCCACCCACAGTACTGATATAATATCCACCAACAGCACAAGCTCTAACCCCCTCCTTGACCCTGAGTCCCGCACCTCCCGTACCGTGCTCTTCAGCCGGACCTTGCGGGTTCTCCCCCAAACCCACACAACCCACCGCCTTCCCAGAGCCCTTTAAAATCCTATCTAAAAACTTCCCCAAAAAATCCCACAACCCCCTCTTCGCACCATGCCAGATGCTTGGCAACTGACTCACATTTATGATGGTTGTAGTGCCTGGGGTCATATGATCAGCTTCTTCAACCTTTCGAAAAGCAAAGTCAATGGGGGAACCAGATTCATTTAATAACCTTGTTACTAACTTAACAACTGCAGTGATTCACTTAACAACTGTAGCAAGAAAGGTTGAAAAATGGGCAAAATTCACTTAACAAATGTTTTACTTAGCAACAGAAATTTTGGGCTCAATTGTGGTCATAAGTTGAAGACTACCTGTATTATGTTTTCTTTAAATTACAAAATAGCATAATAAACCTTTTTCACACTCTCACATTAGTAATCAATTAATTCTAGAAAGAAAAAGCTAGCCTGCATACTCTTTATTCTTCTACTACATTTTCTACATTTTGCTTGTAACCCCATGCACTATTTAAAACAGAATTTTGAACAGAATTCAAAAAGCCTTCTTTAGCAATTAATACCCCTGTAAAGTCTTAATTTGATTCTTACTATCTTTACCTTTTGCATAAGGGAACAGAAATAGTATTTTTTCAATTGTCAGGTGTAGATTCAATCTTTGCATACATGTTAAGTATCTCAGTCACTTCATAAGCAAAATACATCCATGTTGCAGTATTTCTCTAGTTACTTTATTTATGTGGCAAACATACTTGCAACCTTACTATATCTTTGTTAACACTTATGACTTCGTTTCATTATTTTTCATTGAATAATAATGTAAAGAATATTTCTGTCAACTCTGCCCTTCAACATATCACTATTATTCCAAAACACATCTATAAAATTTTCCTTTTCACATTCCCTTATTTCAGTTTTATCCAAAAACATTTCATTAATTTTAGGTATACTTATATTTAATCTAATACTGGCTACTTTTTACAGTGTGATTATTAATATGCAGAGAGAATAAATGAATGTAATATAATATAACCTCAATCATGTAAGTAGAGGGGCAATCTATGTAGATAAACATGAAATCAATGAATTTTATTATTATAATTTATTCATATGCTTTATTTTTCAGTATATTTATATGGCCTTTTTAGCAGTTCAAGAAGTATACAGCACTCCCTCCAATATTTTCCGGCAACCACCATCCTGCTCAATAGGTAAGAGTTATAGTAGAATCACTGCCCCAGTGTCACTCAATATCTCCTTGAGAATGTCTTGAATCCAGATCTCTCTAGTCCCAACTTAACACCTTTTCCAGTACTGCAGAGCTGCAATTTGGAATGTGCTTTAAAAACAGCCTTTTTAACGCAATAAAAACACTTACCAGCTATTGCTCCTGCCAGAAGCAAATAACCAGGAGCCACCTGTCCATCTTCATTTGCAAAAGCAGACTTTGTGTGAGCGTAACAAGGGAAGTAAATAGCAGAAAAGGGAATGTCGCGAAGGAAACAGGCTTTGGCTCCCTAGGAAATGAACAAACAAATATAGAAGATAAAAAAAAAAATCTGTAATATGAACAGATAAAAATATAAGAGAGGATCAGGGTGGAAAGGTTTTTAGAGCTAACCTTGGGAAAGATATGGGGAAGCCATTAAGGAGGGACTCAGATAACAGATTACACAATTCAAAGATTGAAGAAGATGTGAGAAAGCCACTAAAGGATTCAGCAAGAGTAGCAAAATCATATTTCTTTTGTTCCTATCCCATGAAAAGTCAAGTATGAGAGTAACCAAGATACATTTTATCCGAGTCATTCTGAAATTCAGAAAGAAATGCCACTGGATTAGCTGTAGTTTAAAGAATGCATACATCTGAACTGCCATTACTCTATTAATTATCTCTCCCACTTCAGGGAGACCATTACAAATTTTCCGATTTAGATTGAGGGTTGTTGTGGTTTTTTTTTTTACAGGAATGACCGCACTGTTTCCTCAAGGACCACTATTTTATGACATAATGAATTCTTCATTCTATGAACTCACCCAGTACATTTTTAACAACCAATCTTAATTGGTCAGGTTCAGGTGAATCAAGAATGATTGTGTTAATTATCCCTTCATCATTTCACAGGACTAAGAATTCAACAGAATCACTTGCTTTAGCTACTATTTCACCCTATTCAGGAATTCATTAGATTCTTTGAAAATTAAATCTTGTCTAGCCTAGATACAGACATAACATAATGCAGAGGATAAAGATTTCCAGATAAGAAATGGAATGGAATGGAATGGAATGGAATGGAATGGAATAGAATAGAATAGAATAGAATAGAATAGAATAGAATAGAATAGAATAGAATAGAATAATTGGAAGGGACCTTGGAAGTCTTCTAGTCCAAGCCTTGCTTAAGCAGGAGATCCTATACCATTTCAAAAAAGTGATTGTCCAATCTCTCTTAAAACAATTTCACCTCCATCAGTTTTCTGATCAATGGGGATGTAGTATGGAATAATGGACAAGCATAGCTTCTCCTAGATTACTGTCTCACATCTCAACAATGCATACCAAATCCATGAACCTCTGAACCATGATTAAATCACAAATATAGTTGTTTTATTTCTTATTACAGAACAAATGCACATTAAATAACAGCATCTTCAGGGCAGGGAACATAATAGGTCCCCTTTTTCATGGCCTACAGGAAGCAGTTAAAAACAAGGTGCTTTCAGAGGACCTTTGGGGGATTAATACAACACAATTTTTCATAATTGCATAATTTTAGTTGTTTATCTCTAGTGATTTTAATTAAATTTATTCTGAATTCATATTCTGTTTTTATTATCTAAATATTATAAGCCACCTAGAGTTTGGATAGTTCCAGATGGTTGGATAAATGAATAAATAGTAGCTGAATGTCCATGACTTTGGATGTGGTACAATTTTGTCTAAGAAATTGTCTATTACCTTTGTTCTTCTTCTTCTTATAACTCTACCTTTCCTTATGTCATGCCTCCCATTCATAGCTATTATTTTAAGGTTGCTGTTGTGTCCTCCCTGCTTCTTTACCAGTGCTTGCCAGACACATTTACCCTTAACTTAACCCTAAAAAAAGAAAAAACTCAATACACATAATTTGCCTATATCAATAACAGGGAATCTCACACACCAACTGTATTGGTTTGTGCAGCTAAATAAAGTATATAGTCAATCACATTCTGACTCTAATTGGTAGAACCACCCACTTCCGAGTCTCATTCAGTTCCACTCTATCTTTTCCATATTGAACTTATAGACATAACTTGCTTTGCTGCAAGAAAAGGGGTGACCAAAAAGGAGTTGAATAGTTTATGTAAATTCACTAATCCTCAACCCTACTTCTTAAAACTACTGTAGATGTATAAGGAAGGATAAGGTTTTACTTGAGAGCAGAGTAGAAGAAATAGACATTGGAAGTTCCTGGTTTCTTCTCCTGACACATAGAGAGGACCCAGAGCCAGGTGAAAAAGAAAAACGGGCCTACTGGGCCATCACGTGCCAGGAGCGGGGAGGGAGGTCATGCACGCATGTGCAGGGTGGGGCACATAGAATTATGGGTGTGGGCATGCATGCGCGCGAACCTCCTCCCCCTCCTGGCACACGATGGCAAAAAGGTTAGCCATCACTGCTCTATGTCATGAAAAGCTTTATAAGCACTGACCAGCACCTTGAATTTCACTCAGAAGTTGAGTAGCTGTCAATGCAACTCCCTATAGCAGCAGTGATAAATAGACACACTGAGAAGCACTCTTTACTGCTCATGTACCACCTTCTGGATAGTTTTCAAGACTAGGCTTATGTAGAATGCATTGAAATAATTTAATTGCGAGGTGACCAGGGTGATCAGGGTCTGCAAGTAAATCTGGAAGCTTCCGTAAGCCTACTGATACTTTTCCATTTTTGTGGACACCAGTAGTTTGAGTAGAAAGAATTCACATGGGGAAAATGAGTTCACTTTTAGCAAAGGATAAATTCTAAGGATTTGCCATGAAAGTTCATATTAGTCTGTTAAATTGTTTAGATGTATCTTTTCAGCAGAAAATGCAATTCTGAAATTATTTGGCAAGGATTCATCAGCTTGAACATGTCTTAACAAAACATCTTTTCAATATTTATTTTGCTCTCATCCAGATCATCACTTCCCTCTCTTGGAAGTAGAGTTTTAAGTACTTTAATTTAAAATGAAAAATATAGTTAGCTGAACTCTGCATCACCCTTAGGTTTTTGTTTTAATTCTCTGGGATGTCATTATCAGCTTAAGAAAGCTCTTGTTTTCTAATAGGAGACAAGATGCTCATTGGATTTTAAAGATAACTTCAAATACCCTTGTTACAGTATTTTTCTTTATGTGCTGCATGGATTAAGATATATTTATTTATTAAGCATTTTTACCCCCGCTATAAATCTGAAGGACTTTCAGTGGTTGATAAAGTTCGGCCAGTTTCATTCTTAGATCTATTCATTTTTACAACAAGAGGCATATGAGCAGCTATTCTAGAGACTCATGCGTGTTCTATGCAAGTTGGTGAAATAAAATGACTGGTGGGAGAGGGAGGGCCTCCTCAATCCTTTCTTGCACTTTCGGAGTATTATTGCATCAGAAGAAGAAGATATCCATTTTTTTATGTTTTGAAGAATTATTTTATCTATCATATTTCATATTGCTTTCCCATAGCTTTCCTTAATTGTCATTAGCTGGTTGCAGTTGATTAATCTTAAGGTAAATGAGGCCTGCCTTTAAACATACTTTCCCAGAGTTTAAAACAGAAGGGTGAGAGGAAACTTGAGATGGTAGAGAGACTGGCATAGAGCCAAAGTTTGTGGTTAATATAGTGGATCATTTGATCTTGCTTTGTTTATACATAAACCATTTAGGTCTGATAGATATTTTATTTCGCATGTCTGAAAGCATGTAACCAGGAGTTCTTTATAAATTATGTAATTTCCATCTTCGAAAGAAGATTACTGTAAACAAAAAAAATAGCCATTTTAAACATTTTAAGTTGGTGATCTTTTTATTACAATTATATTCTGTCCTCTCCTAGGGATTCCGAGAAGTTAAAGTACACACATACATTCATTATGCTAGGTTTGAGCCAGATTTAGGAGACTGATCATTGTAGGCTTGAATCCTACAAAAGAATGGACCAAGTACGTCAAATTGCTAATATCAATCAATCAATCAATCAATCAGCTTAACAAATGAATCATATGAAGCTGAATCATGATTTCATTTTAAACTGTTAAAAATGTGCTCCTGAAATAAAGCCTTTTCAGATGGTAGCCTTTACTAATACTCATTTGGATGCAATATACCAACAAGCGACTTCAACTGTTCTTGATAGAGAGTCAGGATTATCTACCTGAAGATAGTTTAGCAACTTGGGCACAGATCTGCAAGGCTTGACATATTTTTCTCAAGGCCTGCCTCTTCTTCCTGCCTGATCACTGGCTCCTCACTTTCCCTCACATTTCTCTAAGAATTCCTCAGAAGCTTTTTAAATTTTGGATGGTGTCTTGATGCATAACTAGCAGGAAAAAACAAAACAAAACACCCTGGACTGTCAGAAGTTTGGACAATCAGTTCAGCTGGGACAGGTTCTTTAGCTTGCTAATTTCTGTTTATTTCAGCCTTACCTGCAAATAAATAAATAAATAAGGATTTAAATAAATTATTTCTACTACAACAGGAGGGTAATTACATTCACAAAGGCACTTCTGTGTCAGGGCTCTGCATAAGGAGCCAGAAGGTCTGGGAGACGAAGGCTTAAGTTAGTCTCCTGCAGTGAATGCACATTGTCTGGTGGAGGGGGAAGAATGCCAGACTGGTGGGACCTCGCAGAATTCAAGGCAACAGAGGTACACCTTGTCTGAGAGAGTTATTTAATGCTTCTGGCACCTGTACTTACCGCCATCCCCTCTTTTCCTACCTTACAGGTTTAGAATTTATTTGGCATGTATAATTGTTATTTTGATCCTATAGCAATAAACAATAGGCAGCATGTCATTTCTTGATCCGTTAGCATTCTTCTTGGGTTTCACCAGCAACTTAACCCTTCCAATTCAGCCGTGAGACAACCTCTTTTTACACTCCTTTCTTCAAGTCATCTTATCTTGCTTTAAATGCTCCAGTTAAAAGTTTAAAAGTTGGAATTGACAAATCAAGAATTGGTGATTTGTTCTTGCTGTCAATGCCAAGTAGGTTTACAATGAATGACTAAACAACAATGTTTGCTTTTGTAAACTGAAATTGAAAAATGAACAGTTTTGAAATTTCGGACTTTGGCAGTCTATTTTTTTAAATATAGTTTCAATAGAAAGATTTGATGTCTTGCATATCTTGTATAAATACTTCATTTATCATTAGATAATGATATACGTTATAAATATATTTTGAAGTACCTTCCTAGTTCATATCAGATTACTTGTTTTGATTTCACATCTAACTCTCAAAAGATTTTCGACAAATTCTTCAAGTCAATTGCAAGCAGTAACATTTTTTTCTTTCAAGATTGCCGCGAAAAATTTAATTGAATTAAAATAATGCTGGTAACTGGAAAGTAATGTAAAATATTGCATCTGTTTAGAAACAGAAAAGTAATTAAACAAAACAAAAGTGATTTTCAAATTTTATGAATTTTCCTGAAATACATTTTTGTAAACTGGAATGATTTGTATACCTATTCTATAAAAGCTGAATCAAATATAAAATGAAATTATGTATTTCTTGAACTTCTACAAATACTTACTCTCTATATTATTAAACTTGTAGTTATTGTCACTATCCTCATCAGTCATAGACAGTGAAATCTAGAGTTTTTAATTAGTAAGTTACTGCTACTACTACTAAATTAGTAATTAATTACAACTAATTAAATCTAGAAAGTTAATGGAATGTGTTCACAATTTGTGAACCACTGACAACCCTCTCCAGACTCTAATTGGATAAAATCTACACCATCTTAACTTCATTTAATAATATATCCTCCAACACTGTATATGCATTATAAAAAAGTCAACAGTCTAAATAGCAGCTAGTAACTCATCTAAAGACAAGGATACTCTAAGATCCCCTTCTCATTTCGCTAACATTTTTTATTTCACATTCCTTTGCTTTTTCAGCTTAGCATTATTGTTCCTAGGATTTTTCTCATAACATAAATGTGGTCAGTTTTCAATTCTGTAGCTTCATAGGTGGATTGGATGCAAGATATAATGGATTAGATCCAATAGATCCCTCTTTGGCATAACCCAAGTAGAGACCTGAGAGATTCACCTTTAAGGTTTAAATAGCCTTGGGAATTGAGATGTTTAGCACATCTCCTTCCTTTTCACTTGTAAAAATTTGCCTTCCAGCTGCCATTTCCACAGGGGAAAACTGTCACAAAGCATCTAGGAAACTAACAAAGCAGTTCCAAAAAAGACTACTGTAGAGAACAAAATTGTGAAAGAAGTGAAGCAGCCAGCATTATTAACAAAAAGATATCAATGTCAGTTGTGTTTAGACACAACTGAAAATTTAATAGAATAATCTTGTTTCAAGTCCCAGGCAAGACAATCAATATTGCAGTAATACAACAACCTGTGCTATGGATGCAGATGAGGCAGAAGCAGGACAATTTTATGATAATGAGTAACTGTTTGTCAATACAGCATCAAAAAAAAAAATCATACTAACAATATGAAAGTGAATTGGTATGCTAAAGTTGGAAGTCAAATAATACTTGCAACAAAATTTATCCTCAATATAACAAACAAGCAGGAAACAAATTCACACAACATTGCCTGGAAAAACTTTTATATAAATACCCAACAACGTAAAAGAAATTCTCCATAACAATTCTGCATATTAAAATCAAATTGACTATATACCCTGCAAGCAAAAAGAGAAATCCTGGCACTGACTAAAGATGAAGCAAACCAAAAACAATCTGCAAAGAAAGTAAAGTGGTTGTGTGGTTGATATTTTGAAAAAAGAAAATTAAGAAAGGTCAAAAGCAAAAGACAAAACATTAAGAAAACCATCTGCAACTAAGGGTTGCGCTAAAGAAGAAGCAAGGAATTATCTCTAAATAATTCAGAAATTCAGTGTAATTATCAAACAAATTATAAAGAAATTTTTAAAAATCTTCAAAATTATGGAAACCTTTTGTACAAAGTTGAGCAAGATAAAAGATAAAGATCTACTAGACAGGAAGATACAAGAAGAGATTGAAGGAGTACAAAGAAGAACCTCACAAAAGAATCACAAAATCAAATCAATGTTATATTGTACATAAAGATTTGATGACTGAACTAGAGCCAGACATTCTGGAAAGAGAAGTTAAATGAGCTTCAGAAAATACTGCTTACAACGAAGTAATAGGATAGAACTGTTTAAAACCTTATAAGATAATACCATTAAAGCACTGCATGTTTTTTGTAATCATGTTATAAAACAGAGCCACAGGATTTGAGAAGATAAATTTATATTCTAGTACTAAAAGGATAACTGTTAAAGAATACTGAGACTACCAAATATCTCCTCTTAGATCATAAACCAGTAAAATAATGCTCAGGATTACAGCAGGGGTGAAATGCTCCTGGTTCGGACCGGATCACTCGATCCGGCAGCGATGGAGGCAGGTGGTTTGGAAAACCGGTAGCAAAAATCCCTGCCCCCACACGCCCAGCTGAGCTGCATAATCATCAGAGTTTTTTTTTTTTTTTTACTTTTAAAAGCATTTTTTTTTGGCCGAAGAGGTTGTAGAAAAAATGCTTTTAAAAGTAAAAAAAAAAAAAAAAGCCTCTGATGATTGCGTGGCTCAGCTTGGATCATCAAGAGGCATTTAAAAGAAAAAAAGCGTCTGCCGATCAGGCAACTCAGCTTGGATCGTCACAGGCATTTAAAAGAAAAAAAACCCCTTTTTTTCTTTTAAATGCCTCTGGCGATCCAAGCTGAGTTGCCTGATCGGCAGAGGCTTTTTTTCTTTTAAAAGCCTTTGACGATCCAAGGTGAATTGCCTGTTCGGCAGAGACATTTAAAAGAAAAAAATCCTCCAATGATCAGGCAACTCAGCTGGGATCGTCAGAGCCCTTTGAAACCATTTTTTTACAACCTCTTCTCCAAAGAGATTGTAGAAAAAATGGTTTTAAAAGTAAAAAAAAACAACAAAAACTGGCCACGCCCACCCACTCACATTACTCCCCCAACCAAGCCACGCCCACAGAACCGGTAGTAACAAATTTTAGATTTCACCACTGGATTACAGGTAGTCTTCGACTTATGACTGTAACTGAGTCAGAAACTGCTGTTGTAAGCCATTTTGAAGAATCACTTCAAAATGAGATGGCAGCAAATAAATTTAATAAATAAAAAATAAATGCCGTCCTTAAGTTGATCACCATGTGACCATGCCTGATTTTATGACCTTTTTGAAGTGGTTGTTAAGCAAATATTGTGATCATAAAGCAAACATCATAGTTGCTAGGCAAATTCATTGTGCCCAGTGGGCATTTTTTCCTATTTCTAAAAACTGTTGTAAATCATGGCCACCTGACCATGGAACACTTTGGCTGGTTGCCAAAGGTCCAAAATGTGATAATGGGAGGGGGGGATGCATCAGAATTTCCAAATCAGCTTGTAAGTACTTCTGGGGAGGTCCATCAGAATTTTGAACGATCACTCATTAATTGGTTGTAAATTGAGGCATGGTGGTGCAGTAGTTGGAATGCAGTATTGCAGGCTAATTCTGCTGACTGCCACCAGTTCAATCGTGACTGGCTGAAGGTTGACTCAGCCTTTGATCCTTCTGAGGTTGGTAAAATGAGGACCAGATGATTGGGAGCAATATGCTGACTCTGTAAACAGCTTAGAAAGGGCTGTAAAGCACTGTGAAGTGGTATGTAAGTCTAAGTGCTATTGCTACCTATACCTTATTTATCTACAGGAGAAGTTGCCTGTGTGATGTTCCAACTACATATTCAAGTGAAAAAATATGATAATGCATATTTTTTCTGACAGTGTGATATTTTTGGGCAATTTAATATTTTCTTTAAATATATCAGTCTTTTTTAGTAGAACATATTTAATGGCTAGAGTCATCATTCCTGAGAATTTTTGAGCCTAGAAGAAAAAAACAGTTCATATTTCAAGTTCTCTTCCATTTACTTGCACTTAGCTGGCATTGCCTGATGACATAATCTTAGTTTGTTTTTTAATATTGAGAAGAGAGATTCTCTCCTTATCTTCAGCAAGATTTTTTTTTTTTAGGTGTTTCTGTGAGATATACTAATTTTACAAAAGGCAAGCTGTTAAATTCAGAAGTAGAGTCAAAATGAATTTACCTTATAAAGGCCAAAAAATCCTAGGTCTCGCAAGACCGTAAGGGCACTAACACGTGGACCAGTTGTGATCTCTCCAGCCACTTGCAAGCGAATTTTAACGATTTCTAGTGGATTTGTGAATATCACTTGAGAGCCTCCGGCCTAAAAAAAGAAACAATATTGTGAATATGTTACCGCTTCAGCACAAAGAGAGGATAAATTATCCCAAATGCCAATGGAGCAGGACATCGTGCTCATTTCAGTGGTGCTTCCATGAGTTTTTTACATTGAAATCAAAAAAGGCAATGGTGCCGAGCAGTTTGAATTGAAAGTTAAATGTGGGAATTTACTCCTTAAAAGCAATTATTTTTACAGATTGCAAGATACTGCTTCTATATGCTAAACGAAAAAACAAGGTAAAGCAAACAACAAATATTTAAATCTACATAGACAACTTAAATCTAAGTGGCAAAAGACTACAGGACTGGAGAAAAAAAGGCAAATTACTGGATTCCCCCACCCACACAAACACATACATGCAATTCCTCAATTTTGGCATCTATACAAAAAGTGCAGTGGAACACATGTATTTAAACAACTAATTTCCTCTGCTTTTAAAAGTTATTGAACTGAAAAAATATATATCTCAAATGGCACTTTGCAGTTGCTCCTAGTAGATTTGAACACCATTTCTCTCTGCAAAAGACAGCTCTATTTTATTTCATTTCTCCAACCAAAAGAGTACTTACACTGAACCCAACAAATTAAAAGTTCCTTAATAGGAAGTTCCGGCCCTATGGAACGAACATATGAAGTATCCCCGACCTCCGCGCCTTCCGTTGTGCTCTGAAGACCCTACTATTCCAGCAAGCTGGTCTGATGGGATAAAGGATTTTAAATTGGGTTTTGATAGGGGTTTTAAAATGATTTTAGTTGGGTGTTTTAAATTCGGCCAATGATTGAATTATTTTAATTAAGTTTTTAAATTTTTGTTGTATATTGTTTTTATTATGGCTGTTCACCGCCCTGAGTCCTTCGGGAGAAGGGCGGTATATAAATATAATAAACTAAACTAAACTAAACTAATAGTTCTATTTGAACATTGGGTAATGATTTGGTCACTTAAAAAGGCTACTTTGAACAACTGCAAATAATCCTTAAAAGAACACTTTTGGTAGACTAAGTATGTAATTAATAAAGTTATTCCTATGTATAGCAATTGGAAAGCTTTTGGAAAAAAATAGATACATAGAAGTACTGTATTTTTCGGCGTATAAGACACACCTACCTTTTTTGGGTTTTTTTTAAAGTTTTTTTTTATTTTTTAAACAAACACACATAGAAACATACAATGTATTTTCTTTGAACAGAGTATTTGGCTGGTTCACAAATTTAAACAGTGTTTAGTCATTTCAATTAAATTTACAATTTCTATATTTCCTTTTTGCCATATTTATTCCTCATCTATTTTTTAAAAAAACCAATATTACCCTTCATCCTCATTTCTAATCTTAATCAAATTCAATTTTTCCCTTCTATTCTATATTATAACCCTTCCCATTGTCATCTATTTTTATATCCATCCTCACATTTGTTAATTATGTAATATTACAATTGTTTAATACGGATTCAACATTTTAATATAAATCAATTATCTTTTTTTGTATATTAATCAATATGAACATGAATATTCCAATTATTTCCATGCAATCCAATTTCTTACAAATCAATTAATTATATTTATCAATAATAATAAACCAAATAATTTTCCCCTTATGTTTCTCATTTTCACATCTTAAACTCTCCCAATAACCCACATAGTTTTGCCCATATAATCATCCAAATCACAACTTAATCATTTCTACTTTCATCACAATATATAATTAAAAATATTTCAATCATTACAATTTCCCTAATTAAATTTAAAAATGTTCTAGCTGTTATCCAAGCTACAACCTAATCCTTTTTACTTTCACCACCATATACCATTAAAGGTATTTCAATTGTTACAGTTTATACTTATTTATATTTCTAAAAAAAATAAAAAAATAAAAACTTATCATTGTCTAGATTTCAAAAATACAAAGACAAATATTCCAATTATTATTCATTTCATTTTTACAATCATGCCCATTTATTTCTTACTACTATTCCTATTTCAATTCTAAATATGTATAACATTTTCTTTCATTTCTTTTTCTCCCTTCCCATTTTTATTTTTGCCTTTTTCTTTGTTCTTTTTTTCTTCTGTGTTTAAAATCTTGAACTCTCTTCTTTTGCCCTAAATTTCCCATTGTTTGCACCTACCTTTTTTGATGAGGAAAAAGAAGAAAAAGAAATCTCCCTCTGCCTCTGCCTAATTTTGCCTCATTGCAGCAAACAGCCTGTTTTACTTTCAGTTTTGTTTTCAGCATAGCTTGATTAGCACAAGGAAAAAGAAATCTGCTCCAGCAATTTATCTCTTTGGAGCAAGCAGCAGAGCCCTGCGCAAAACAGCTGAGAGCAAATCAGCTGAGAGTCAGGAGGCAGATCTAATCAATTTGTGCTAATTAGCCTGAAAGGAGCTGTTTTTTCTTGCTGTTTGCTTGCAAGGAGGTAACTGCTACGAGGCACAGGCCAAAGGGTGGGGGCCAGTGGGTGGGCAGGGCTACATTTGGTGTATAAGACGCACCTAAACTTTCACCCCCTTTTAGGGGCAGAAAAAGGTGCATTTTATACTCTGAAAAATACGGTAGTTCTGGTAGAACATGTAAATACTCTTGAGCTATATTCTTATTCTCTTGGTCACCTTTCCCTCAGCCTTATCCTCCCTAGTCTTTGGGAACCTGGGCCATTTTGACTGTACAAAGCAAGAATATAACTTTGTCTTTTATGCTAAATGGGAAGAAATGAGTATTTCTTACACTATTTAATGTATTATTTTTAGTCTAGTAAGAGGAAAGAGAAACCTGTTACCTGGTTTGGCTTAATCTGGGCAAAAGCCAGATTAATTAAAGTAATTAATTAATTAAAAACTGAGAAGACATCATAGACCACAGTAGCCAATGCAACCTTCCTTCTAGTCCTCTCCCTGAATGCCTTTGTTCTCAACCCCCTAGAGCATATCTTAGTACGCAATAGCACAGAGTTTCTAATAAACACCTATAAGTGTTTAAAATCAGTCAGTATCTCTTTTTGTACTTATAGGCAGAGTTTATCTCAAATGACCCTTCAGATGTGTTGGACTCCCATAATTTTCAGTCAGAATGGTTAAAGGGCCCACTGATTGAGAATTATGGGATTTGAAGTCCAAAACATCTGGAGGCCACCATGATGGGAATATTGCAATAGCTGACATGGTCTCAGAAAAATGTTTCTTCAGACAGATGGAGGGAATCTGATACAGATGGATTACGTTAACAAGGCAAAGATTATACTCCATTCTTCAAAGTCTTTGAAATCAACAGTAATACTTGGGGTTATTAAAGGCCAAATCATTAGTTTCTGATGTTCAGCCAAATATGTAACTAAAAGTCCACTCTGGGCCACCCTTTTCCAGTATTCTCCACAATTGATATGAGATTAGCCATTTCCTTCTATTTAATTTTAATGAGCTGCAACTGTGAGTATCATCCCTATACTGAAATAATTAAAACAAGAATGCTTCCAATAAAAATGTTCTTCTTTTTTTAAATAACAGCTTTGTGTCTTTAATATCTTAAACAACAGTAATCAGGTGGATAGCTAGAGGTTTCCAAGTTGGCAACAGAGGAACAAGATAGATAGATATATGACAGACAGACAGACAGATATTAAAGGAGTATAACATTAAGCAAAACTAATACAGAATAAAGAAAACAAAGAGAAGGAAAGACAAGTGCAGAAAGAAAAGATAAAAAGAAGTAGGATTTCTATTTAATTTCCTTTGCAGCAAATACAAATGTAATTATAAAGTTATATTGTATACTATGGTTACTAGGGTTCATTTTTTCCTATTATCTATTTTTTCTAATTATTTAAGGCACAAGCCATTAAATATGCATTTTTTTGTTTCATAAAAAAATCTATAGTTTACAGTCACCTTTAAATGTAGATGTCTTTTTTTTAATCAGAGAAGTCAACATAACCACCTCTCTAAATTCTATCATCTTCACCAACCATTTGCTCTATTGTAGATAGTATAAGAACTTCACACTTTTGAGCATATAATAATCTCACTGCAATTGTCAAATATCTGTGCAGATCTGGGATGGAGTTTTCTCTTTTTCTACCTCAGAAATGAATTTATGCTATTCCGCCACCGAACATAAACTTACTACCTACATGGGATTCTTGATTTAATAAAGCATATTGTAGCAACCAGAAAGTTATTAAATTTAAGACTGCTACATAATGCAATTCAACATAAAGCTGACAAAAGTGAAGAAATCAGCAAGGGAGTGTTCACTAGATACTATGCGCTTTGCACTCACACAGTTCTTTGGACAAGAACAAGAAAGCCCCCTAGCTAAAAATTGTTTCCACACACACACACACACACAGAGAGAGAGAGAGAGAGAGAGAAAGACCCATACAAACACTTTAATATATAAAGTATACTGCAAGAGAGAGAGAGAGAGAGAGAGAGAGAGAGAGAGAGAGAGAGAGAGAGAGAGAGAGAGAGAGAGACCCATACAAACACTTTAATATATAAAGTATACTGCATGAGTCAAAAAGAGGGCTGTGAAAATATTTACAGACCCCTCGCATCCTGGACATAAATTGTTTCAACTCCTACCCTCAAAATGATGCTATAGAGCACTGTACACCAAGCAACTAGACACAAGAACAGTTTTTTCCCCAAACACCATCACTCTGCTAAAGAAATAATTCCCTCAATACTGTCAAACTATTCACTAAGGCTGCATTACTATTACTATTAGTCTTCTCATCATTCCTATCACCCATCTCCTCCCACTTATGACTGTATGACTGTAACTTGGTTGCTTGTATCCTTATAATTTATACTGATATTGTTTTCTGATTGCTTATTTGTACCCTATGATTATCATTAAGTGTTGTACCTTATGATTCTTGACAAATGTATGTTGTCTTTTTATGTACATTGAGAGCATATGCACCAAAGACAAATTCCTTGTGTGTCCAATCACACTTGGCCAATAAAGAATTCTATTCTATTCTAT